TTTTAGTAGAGACGGGGTCTCGCTCTTGCTCAGGCTGGTTTCGAACTCCTGAGCTCAAACAGTCTGCCCGCCTCGGCCTCCCAGAGAGCTAGGATTACAGGCGTGAGCCACCGCCAACAACCGTTTTTTAAATTGCAGTTGACCTTGTGAGGTGGTTGGGGATGATTTAGGCTTTTGGAAGGAGGAGGTTGGGATCAGAGTCTGGTCCCTGCGGACTTCAATGACTTTGCGCCTCCGATCAGAGAAGCAGCAGAGGGCAGGAAGCTGCTTGTCAGAGTCTGAGAATGATGTGGCTTCTGTGTTTAGAAATAAAATGTGAACAACATAATAGAAAAGAAAAGTGACAAGTTTTGGCAAATAATTTGGAAGAGAGGAGTGGAAAATGCTTACTTGGCCTCCTAGGTCCTAAGTAAGAACTACCGCTCATCAGTTCACACTTAGCATCTGCTGTGTTTGGTATGTTTCTGGTCCTTGGGAAGAAGCATTAGATGTAGCCCCGACCTTGTAATGCTTAGGTTTTAGATGAGAAATGGTACATATAAAAAGAAAAGAATCCAACATCCCACCCTGCAGGCAAATAGTAGAGCCATTGAAATAGGGGTGCCTTCCTCCAGGCAAATGACCTGAAAAGACTGTGTATGAGGTGTGGGCTGGGGGTTTATAAAATCATACACATACAGGAGCTAATTAAAGCCACCCATCCGTTCCTTAAGAGAGTGAATATAAAAGAAGGCTGGGTGTGGTGGCTCATGCCTGTAAACCTAGCACTTTACAAGGCTGAGGTGGGAGGATAACTTGAGACCAGGAGTTCGAGACCAGCCTGGGCAACATAGCAGAATGCCATCTCTACAAAAAATACAAAAATTAGCCAGACACGTTAGTGTGCACTTGTGGTCCCAGCTACTTGGGAGCTGAGGTAGGAGTGTTATTGCTTGAGCCCAGGAGTTTGAGGTTGCAGTGAGCTATGATGATGTCACTGCACTCTAGTGCAGGCAAAAGAGTGAGACCCTGTCTCTAAAAAAAGCTACCTGGGAGGCTGAGGCAGGAGGATTGCTTGAGCCCAGGAGTTTGAGGTTGCAGTGAGCTATGATGATGTCACTGCACTCTAGTGCAGGCAAAAGAGTGAGACCCTGTCTCTAAAAAAAGTATTTTTTTATATACATAAAAAAGAAAAGTAGACTCCTTAACTGAGCCATGGTGAGGATTTGGAATTTAAGGGCATGAGAAGAAAGAAGCCAGCACAGGGAGCGAGTGAAGGGAAATGCCAGAGTGGAGGCAGGAGGAAGTAGCGTCCTGCAAACAAGGCCTGTCACCTGGCAGAGGCCAGCACACCCACCCAGAGTTGTGTGACAACCGGAAGAGGTCCTTAGAGACTGCTTATTTCAATGGAAGCTTCAGGGGTTAGACAAAGAGTGGTAAGCAAATACAAGTGTAGACTCTTCAGTTCAGCCAAGCTTCCTTGAACACCTATTATGTGCTAGGAACAAGAAGGATCGGCATGTCAGATGCAGTGAATTACTGGGGTCGGGTCAGTGTTTTCCCAAATGTGTTACATTTATCACTGGGAATAGTAAATCAGATGATTTTAGGTAGAACATGGCCAGACTATTTAAAACATTTAATAGTTTAATGTTAACTAGCATATCAAAACTTGTGACTTCTAGGCCAGGCGCGGTGGCTCATGCCTGTAATCCTAGC